AGGGTTTATTTTAAAGGGTGTGAGGTGGCCTGAGGCCTGAGCCTAAGCAACTCCAGTTTGAAACCTGCAGTCCCACCAGGCACACCTACGGGAGACCTCCAGTGTGGCCCTCAGGCACAAGCAAGTCACTTCCCCCACCCTAACAAGCTCAGAGTGAAGTCTCTGTCATGTTGTCCTCACCCGATAAGGGGAAGGCAAGAAAATCAGGGTGGGGACCACCAGACCAGATGCTTTAACCCAGGGCAAATGACATCATTGAGAAACCCCGTGGCAGCTGGTAGGGATTGAAAGCGGGGTCAGCAGACCCCAAAATTTAGTATAAGTGATGGAGCAAATGGACAGACATTCAGCCAGCCGACACTGATGCCCTCACACTGAGAGCCTGATGGGGACCCGGACTGACCTCTCAGCTCCTCTCATCGTTTGCCTGACCCTCTGTGTCTTCCTCACCTCTCTCAAACTCTACAGCCACACCCTGACCCTGGTGAGAGCCATGACTTCTCCCTACCACCCTCTCCTCGGCCGGCCATTGGCTCCACCCCAGGAGAAGCCTGCCTTGGTCCCTGATCTGATCACCGAGGTCTGAGTGAGTGGGCATCTGCTGGACTCAGAGCCTAAGGCTGAGACTTCTGACACTTGAGCTGAGCCTGCAGAGGGAATGTCTGTCTTGAGCCTGTCATGAGTCAGGTGTTTGCAGTGCTTAGAATTAATCTAGAATTGTTTGCTGTGGATTGATTATGTCTATTGCAGTGCCCAGCATTAAGGATTGTCATTTTCTTGATTAAGAACCTATAGAGTGAAATTGTATTGAGTGATTTCAGTGAATAAAGCATTGAAAAGGGCAGAAGCTGTGGGCATTCTTTATTTCTCCCCCTCGACTTCGTAAGTTGCACCTTTTGCCATTGTGACAAAGGGTAACATAGACTTCTCCCGGGAGGGAGAAGGAGGCCATAGCTGGTGTCCTGGTATCCCGAGAAGCAAGGCGTTCAGCCCTTTTTATGTGTCCTGGCTTCCTTTGTTCTCCTCCTCTTCCCCTTACCTTTCTCCTTCCTGCGCACGTGACTAGGCCCAGGAACTGCTAGTGGGATGCCCAAAGGTGGGACACAGGTGGGCTGAAGGGGGAAGATGGGGCAGCCCAGGACACATTAGCCACTTTAAAGCTCCCTGTAGGCAGGGGCAGTTCCTGGGACAGGTCACCTTGGCAACAGGCTGGAGCAGGGCAGGTTCTTGGTCAGGGAGGAGGAAGGGCTCTGAAGGAACTCACATTTCAGTCCCTCAGGGGACAGTCTGCAACTTCCCGGGATTCACTCAAAATTGGCCTCCTTGATCCACCTGACTGGATCTACCTGTCTACACTGACTGCCTGTCTCATTCTGGCTTCAGCTGGGGCCTCACTCATGGCCTGCCATGTGGGTCTTCCATAGTGCAGTTCCCAGGATGGCAGGTGGCCTCCATTTCAACGTGCAGCAAGAGAGGACAACAGTCTTTTAACCTGGTTTCAAAAATGATATCCTGTTACTTTTTGCTAACTCTGCTTGCACAAGTTAGGGTATGCACACCAGGAAGGGGGGACATGGAGGTCACCTCAGGCCACCTGCACCTCTGCTCTTCCTCCTGTAGTCACCAGCCTCGCAGACCAGGCCTGCAGGGCTGCGTTCAGCATGTTGTCACTCTGGGGTTCCCTGTGTAATTGTTGGACCCCAAGTTGCCTCTTTCTGAGATAGACTTACCCAGAGAGCCCCACGCTCAGTGCAGACCATGTAGAGCACTGGCCACCTTTTCCTGTTGACACCTTCCAGGGGCCTCTAATTATCCTGTCCCCCTACCCGAGTAACGTGAGCCTCTTTTCTTAAGCTCCTGAGTTATCTTTCTTTCCCTCGGGGCTGGATTGGGCCCCAGTGTGTATTTCCAAAATGCCTGGTGGTGTAGTCTTGGGAGTGGAGGGACACTGGGGAGAATGACACAGGAGTGGGGGAGTGTTAGAGTCTGTAAACAAGTCAAAAATAACACCTGGCATTTTGCCAGGGGAATGTTAGAGTTCGTAAACAAGTCTGGATGGTGCCTGGCAAAATGCCTGAGGGAGTGGTTTGAGAAGTAACAAAAACAAGCCATTAAGTGTGGAGATTCCTTATTGGTTGACTGATGTATCTAGTTTATGCTAATTAGATAAGCTGTGTGGAATGTATAAATACTGCTCCTGTCCTGCAAAAAACGGTTTCCACTCCTGCTGTATCAACGTACACAAGTTATTCGTCACCCCCCGGTTATTTTGCTGCAGCCAGCCGGACTGCGGCAGGGGAGAGCTTGCCCCTGGCACCCTCGCCTGTGTCCATATAGGCCGCACAGCCCTGGCGCAAGCCACGGTGGGATCTGCTTCTTGGCAGAGCACCCGTAGGTCCTCCCAGACAAGGCCAGCTCCACTTGCCCCCTTGTGTCCCCTCATGGCCTCCAGTCTCTGACCAGGTCCCTGGCTTCCTGCTCACCCCCTCCAGTGGCATTACTCCACTGCAGCAGGGTGCCCTGTCATGCACATGGCATAGTCTCTGGTCACTTTTTCAATGTCTCCCTGCTCAAGGTCCATGGGGAATGTAAGGTCAGGCAGTGGCGGCAACTAAAGGAGGCAGAGTTAAAAGTCCGCTGAACGAGGCTTTATTGAGACTCAGTTCCTGGGGGAACTTGATCAGACCCACAGAGTAGACAGAGAGGGGCTAAGGAGAAACCGTGTGGGAGCTTGACCAGACTGGGATTTTACGGGGCTCACAGCAGGAAGGGAAGGGCTTGGGACAGGAAAAGGTGTTTTTAGAGTCTCTGGTCCCGCTGGAGTTGAAATCCAGGATTTGTCGGGAGACCTTGCTGATTGGCAGGCGTTTCCAATGGCTCCTGATTGATGTTTCTTTCATGCACGCTTGGTGCTTTGTTCCTAAGTCACCGCCAGCGATCTGACAGGGAGCTGGCCCTTTGACTACTCTTCCTGTTTGTGCAAGTAATAAACTGAATCTAAGAAGCACTTGCCTGTCTTCAGTGTGTGTGCATGCAAGAGCACTCTCTACCACTGAGCTGTGCCCAGCCCTGGACTCCTGTTTCTTTTCTGGTGAATCTGTCAGCCTCGGCCTTACCTTGCACTTGGCAGAGTGAAAGGAAAATGAGGTGAGAGGAAGAAGCCTAGGCCTCACCTGCTCTTGGTGTGTATTCTATACTCCCCTCTCCCAGTGCCAGGTCTGCCCTGATGTCCCACCTGGAGAGACTCAGCAGGCTAGTGGGAGCTGGTCCTGGACCTCACCAACTCTCAGATGGACCAGCAATTAAGGCAGCCTGTGGAGGACCAGCACCACCACCCCCCTCCGCCCCACCCGCCCCGCCCCACTCCACCACGAGGGTGTTGATGAGGAGCCCAGCCTAATTCTCTCTTAAGATTGGGAGCCATCTTGTCACAAAGTCATGAAAAGTTAATTTCTGCTTCACTATAAATTACTGCGATTTCTAAACTTGCTTGGAATGCCTGCCCGTGCCTTGAACTCCCCCATGCCTGACCAGATAACAGCCCTCTCTGAAACCTTAGCGGTGCCTCATAAATTCTGGTGTTGGGATCTAAATTAACTCCCTAACTTGAAATGTTGAACCATTTACATCATTAACATACTCTTTGCCTTTGTATTATGGTTGTCCAAATCCTGTTATCTGTAAGTTCTCAAAACACCCCCCTTTTTGCCACTTTTTGTGCTACAAAGCCATGCTCCTAGAGAGCCGGGGTCCTGTCCTCTAACCCACGGATTTCAGGAGAGAGAATCCCAGCTGGTCAGAATTACAGTCTTGCTATAATTTGATTTATAATTGGAGTGGGTGGTCTTCTCCTGCGTTGTGGTGTAATAGGTGTGATACAGCAGGGTCCCCTGCCTCGCCCTTCTGTGGCTCACTTTTGGTGAGGCAGCACGTCATCACGTCATGAATCCATGTTGTTCTAAAAGCTTCCGAATATCTGTCCTTAACTGGAGGTCATTACTCCCAGTTTTTTTCTCATGTAAAATTTAACAATGAAATGCCTGGCTGGTAGGTGCACGTTGGCTGAGTTTTGACAAATGCAGACACCTTTGTGACTCAGACCTTTCTCAGGACACTGGACAGTACTGTCACCCCAAAGGTTCCCTCACTCTGCTTCCCGGTTATCTCAGTCTCACTACCCTGCTGAGCATCGCTGGGGCTTAAGCAAAGGAAAAAGTGTTTGGGTTTTTTTTTTTTTTTTTTAGCAGTACAGGGGACTGAACCCTGGGTTCTCTACCACTGAGCTACATCTCCAGCTCTTCTTATTTTTCTGAAACCTCAATACCTAGGCTGGCCTAGGATGTAATCCTTCTGCCTCAGCCTCCTGATTCCCTACCTGGGATTACAGGTGTGTGCCACTGCACCTCGTAGAAATTTTTATTTTTTAATTTTTTTTTCTCTCTGAAGAAAAGTGGGCAAAAAAAACCATTGGGGGGAAAGCGGAAAATTTGTGTAGGTTGGGCATGATAGCACACACCTACAACTCCAGTTTCCTGGGAGGCTGAGGCAGGAGGATCCAAAGTTCAAGGCAGTCCGGGAGAGCCTGTCTCTAAAAATAAAAAGAACTGGGGATGTAACTCAGTGAGCTCAGTCCCCAGTACCACCGATTTATGTTTATTTTTAAAAATTGGAATTTTATTTTTCTCACTTTAATGGAAACAAACTCATCAATTTTGGTAAAATTATTTTTGTGTGTGTGTGGATACATTTACTTTTATTTTTATATGGTGCTGGCGATTCGACCCAGTGCCTCACACATGCTAGGCAAGCACTCTTGTCTTCTTTCCAGGGCTGGGGATTGAAACCAAGGCCTGTGCATATTCGGCAAGTGCTCTGTCATTGAGCCATAGCCCCAGTCCTCATTTTCAACTGAGACAAATGTCATGTGAGTTTCTTTTGATCAAGGGATGATCTTGTTATGCTCGAATTCGAGACCCCCAAAAGATCACCAGAGACCAAGATTGATGTAAGCAGCAAAGAGGTGTTTATTGCGAGCTAGCTCGGTCCTCTGCGCACATAGCAACTGGTGACGCTGAGAGGCCCCGAGCCCAGGGTTTGCAGCAGTTTTATACACTCTTTGGGGAAGGCAGGGACCCCACATATATCCTAGCATCTCTTAGCAAATCATCACACACTGCGGGAAAATCATAACACAACTCTAAAACATGATTAGCACATTCACTGGCGGGAACAAGTTGGGTTGGGGTGATGGGTTAGTACAAGAGGGGGATTCGTTTGAACTGATTGGTTTAAGCCACGAGGGGAGTAATGCTGAACTACGTGGTTTCACAACACCATAAACTACTGGGGGGTCATCTGGCACCCCAGGTATTTTCTCTGTCTCATGCTGATTGGTGGCTGCTAGGGGGTTGCTATGGGTCCTCACCTAGCCTGACTGAGTCAGGGACACCAGGCACAGCAGATCTCTCCTATTATTTGTAGATAAACAACTCAGCAGGGTGGGAATGTGCCTAGGAGTGCTCTGTGGGTCTTTCCAAGGACAAGGTCATGCCCCCTTCCTTGAACAGGCTTTGCTCTGAGGTAGAGGCTGGTTTCTCAATCTTAAATAATTTTCTATTAACTTCAGCTTGCTGAAATTTATTGTAAAGATGACGCTGTGACTGATAGAAGGCCATTTCTGAAGTTCAATAAGATTGCACTAAGCAAAATTTGTGAATTGGTACAAGATCCAAATAAGACATCCATTTTTTATTACAAATTACTGATTAAAACTATTTTGGATAAAATTGCTACAGGACTTAAATCATCAGAACACATGTCAAATAAATGGTTGCCTTGTGGGAATCAGATATATTAAAAGGATATAAATTTTCCAATGAAAAATTCAAAATCTAAAGATATTTTAATTTTTTTATACCTCCATTTTAAATGTAAAATTAGGGAATCTACTTTTTAAAAAATATTTATTTTTAAGTTTTGGTTAGACATAATATCTTTATTTTACATTTATGTGGTGCTGAGGATTGAACCCAGTGCCTCATACTTGCTAGGCAAGCACTCTACCACTGAGCCACAACCCCATCCCAGGGCATCTACTTAATTGCTATTTGATAAGCACTTTTCCCATGATAATTAACATTATCATCCAATGATGGTTCACTTCCAATTTCTATGCTTTTTAAATTTTAAAATTTAGGCAGTATATTAATATCTTTTGCTAAAATTTAACAGATAAACATACTTCCAAGTTTACTTTTTATTTTTTTTAGTTGTAGATGGACACAATACTTTTTATATTTTTTATGTGGTGCTGAGGGTCAAACCCAGTGCCTCACACAAGCTAGACAAGTGCTCCACCACTGAGCTACAGCCCCAGCCCTCAAGTTTACTTTTATTTGTTGTAAGCAAGGGGATGGGCCTACTAAGCATGCAGCTTTATAATTTTTTGCAGTATAGCTTTATTAACGTTTCTACTTTGCTCAAATCATCCTACACAGGTAGATTACATAATAATTTATTATCTGGTCACAACAAAATGCTTTCGATATTCATGCATATTTATCCATTCTTTGTAAAGTACCTTGATTGTATTTGGCCTTGATTCCCATGGGGTCCATACGTATTTTTTGTTTTTAAAACAGAGAATAGTCTATCTGCTTACTGAATTCATATACACACAAACAAATATGTAATGCTAAGAAAGATTATTCAATTTCATTTCGCAAAAGTAGCATTTGTATATATTGAGATAATGAGCTGAGGAAGGCACAAAGCTGTTTCTGGGGGAAATAGCTTTCACTGGCTCAGTCATTTCAATAGCTTGAACACAGTTTTTCTAGCCAAACTGTTGTACAGCCTGTCCTGTTTGCTCCACCATCCTATACCTGGCCACAAGAAGTTTTCATGTCAGTATCTTCTCTAGTCCCTAACTTCATGTGCTAGACCTGCCTGTCTTTTCTGACATTTCGATCAAATCCATGTACCTTTTATCATTATGACACCGTTCTCAGTATGAGTGTATCTTGTGCTCACATGGTCTGTACCTGGGGCACCATCAAAAAGTAATCAGGGTGGGGTTCCATGGTGCATGCCTGTAAGCCCAGCGGCTCAGGAGGCAGGAGAATCACGAGTTCAAAGCCAGCCTCAGCAACAGGGAGGTGCTAAGCAATTTAGTGAGACCCTGTCTCTAAATAAAATACAAAATAGGGCTGGGGATGTGGCTCAGTGGTCGAGTGCCCCGGAGTTCAATCCCTGGTACCAAAAAAAAAAAAGTAATCAGAAGCATTTGTTTCTTTTTTTCTTGATAGTATTTCAGCTCTAAGGCAATTAAGTCATTTTACATTTGTTGTGAATTTTACTATACAAATAAGACATCCTCTTTTATGAATAGCTATAAAATCAGCTAAGGCTGGAAACATTGCACCACTTGGATTTCTAATGATTTCTTATTTGTAACATTTAAACTACCCTCAATGGTGAACTTTTGTTTATCTAACTTTTTCATAATGCAAAGCATCATTTTTTAAACTATCAGTTGAATATTTTTAGAAAGATACTTTAATTTTAGAAAAGCATCACACTGAAACAAAGCCTTCATGGTCACAAATTCTGCTTAATTTTTCCAATCTTTGACACCTTTTTCAAATTGCAAGTAATTGATTCTGTTGTATTCCTGCAGAAAGGTATGCATGAAAAGGAAAAAAAATTACATGGAATTAATGAGTCAGTCACAATTAATTCACTCTGTCTTAAAACATTTAAAATAAATGTTGAGAAAATCTTTGCCCACTGTGGGACAGATATTCCAGAACCTGCTTCTTGCATTCACCAAGTTGCTGTTCTATCATTTTTACATTATCACAAAGTAGCCACAATGAAGACTCAAAAAATTAATTTCAAAGGCATTTCCTTAGGGGGCTGGGGTTGTGGCTAGTGGTGGAGTACTTGCCTAGCATGTGTGAGGCACTGGGTTAATCCTCAGCACCATATAAAAATAAATAATAAAGGTATTGTACCCATCTACAACTAAAAAATATTTAAAAGAAAAATTCATTTCCTTAGTTTTTTTGCTCATATTAATAATAACTTGTTTCTAAATTTTCTATTTATTTCTTTTCATTTTTTTGAAGAGGAGACTTCTTTAGCTCTGAATTGATGGCAAATTTTGCTCTAATGATTTCAGTATCAAGAGGCTCAGTCATTTCAATAGCTAGAATACATTTTTTTCTAGCCAAACATAATTGTCTCCCACAATGGCAATTCAAGTCTGCATTGACTTTTCTTCTTTCCCTGAACATTGTACCACTTGGATTTTTAGATACCATATTAATAACTTTTAATGAATTTTATGAATTTAACTATTTTTTAATTATAGAAATTATAAAAATTGATTTACATGAATATGAATATAATCTTTAAAGATCATATATATATATATATGCATATTTGTTACCGGGGATTAAACCCAGCGGCATTTAACAACTAAGCCACATCACCAGCCCTTTTATTTTTTATATGTTGAGACAGGGTCTCGCTAATTTGCTTAGAGGCCTTTAAGTTGCTAAGGCTGGCTTTGAACTCATGATCCTACTGCCTCAGCCTTCCAAGTAGCTGGGATAACAGGTGGGTCCCACTGTGCCCAGCAGTCATCAAAAATAAAACAATCAGTTGTTGGTGGGAACATAAAATGGTATAGTCATTGCAGAAAACAGGACAGTGGTTCTTACAAAAAACTACACATGGAATCCTCATGTGACCCAGCAATTCCACTTGTGGTTATATACCCCAAAGACTTGAAAGCAGGGATTCAAACAGATACTTGTACACCAAAATTCATAGCAACAGCCAAAAGGTGGAAACAAGTCAAGTGTTCATCAACAAATGAATGTTTAAACAAACATGGTCTATCCATTCAATGGAATATTGTTCAGCCATTAAAAAGTAATTAAGTCCTGATACATGTGACAACATGGATGAATCTTGAAAACATTATGCTAGGAGAAAAGAACAAGTAGTGTAGGAATCCACGTTTGTGAGGTGCCTAAGACAGCAGAGGAAACAATGAAAGTTATAGGGCTGCAGGGAGGGAGAGTGAGCTTTTAATGAGGATGAAGTTTCATTAAAATCTGAGATGACAGGGCTGTGTATAGCTCAGTTGGTAGGGTGCTTGCCTCACATGCACAAGGAACAACAACAACAAAAAAGACCTGATGAAAGGTTTTGGAGACAGATAGTGAAAGAAGAACTGATGAAAGGTTTTGGAGACTGGTAAAGCTTCTATTATGCATATTTTACCACAATAAAAACACATACTATAGAGAGCATTAAGCTGAACATAAACATACCTTATGATCACCCCACCCCTGGGCATATCCTAGCAGAAATAAGATTCTGTGCCAACCAAATGAGATAAATGTTCTTAGTAGCAGTACTTGTAACTGCCTGACTGGCCACAACTCAGATAAATGAGAATGGATAAATAAGTAGTGGTACATGCAAATAAAAATGCTTATGTCATAGCAACAAGAGGGAGTGCACTATGACTCTTAACAATGAAGATCAATTTCATAAATGCAAAGTTGAGTGAAAAGATTTGAAAACACACACTGTATGGTCTCACTTCCATAAAGATCACACCCCAACAAAACTCTTCTATGGCAGAGTGCTGATCTTGGGAGATCACAACCAGAAGTGGCTTCTGGGGTGCATGTTGTTTTTTAATCTAGGTCCTTGTTACACAGGTGTGCTTACTTTGTGAAAATTCACCCAGGCCCAGCACAGTGGCACATACCCCTAATCCCAAATTGAGGCAGGAGGATCTCAAGTTCAAGACCAAGTTCAGCAACCTTAGCAACTTAGCCAGACTGTCTCAAAATAAAATATAAAAGGGGCTGGGGATGTAGCTCAGTGGTAAAGCGCCCTAGGTTCAATCCCTGGTACAAAAAGAAAAAAGAGAAAGAGAGGAGGGAGGGAGGGAATGAGGAAAGAAGGAAGGAAGGAAGAAAATCCATCCTTTTAGGGATTCATCTCTTTTCAATAAAAAGCTAGTTAATTATACACCTATTAGAATGGCCAAAATCCAGAACACTGACAACACCAAATGCTCATGAGAATATGAAACAAGAACTCTTATCCATTGCTGGTGGGAATGCAAGATGGGACAGCCACTTTGGAATGCTATCTGGTGATTCCTTGTGGCTTGGAGTGTCCTCCCTTTCCCAGGGTAAGTTCCCTTTGTCCCTCAGATTTCAGCTGGGTCAACAGTTCCTCTGGACTCCTGTCCCATTGCCACTTTGTCATGGTTGCCATTTTACACTTACATGCAGTTAGTTCTGTAATGACAGTCTTCGGTCAGAATGGAAGTTGCTGGAGGTCAGGAATCGTGCCTGGCTTTGCTCTGCTCGTTCTTGTACTCTCAGCACCTGACACCAAATATTGGATGAATGAACAAACAAACAAATGTTTGTTTTTGATGCTGTTATACAAGCCAAGGACCCCACAGGAGAAAACGTCCTGGGACAAGGGAAAGAAAGTGAAGCAGAAGGGATTGAGGGAGAGGGAGAAGGCTGAAAGGAGGCTGTTCTGGTACACAGACTTGGCGGGGGTGGGCTGCAAGGCAAGGCGTTTGGGAGGTAAGCAGACAGAACCTGTGATGGAGAGTGTATTCATACCCACCGCTGCAGGGCACAGCACCACATCCCTCTGCCTGGAGTCCATGCACCAACTCCCCAGTTTTCAGTCCCAGCTGAGCCCTTGCAAGGCTGCAACCAGGTAGGCTGGGACAGAAGCTTCCTCTGAGCCTCCTAGCAGGGTGGGTGTTACCAACATGTGTAAAGGAATCACACATTACCACAAACAAAGCAAGGGGTCTGCACTAAATCTGAGTATTAGGAGATGGGGGCATTGGGGGTACCTTTTAATCTGTCTTCTATGGAAGTGTCTGTAGTGGGAATTGAGGGTGGTGTCAACTCTGGAAGGGGACTAGGTTGAAGGAAAGAGGGGGGGGGCAGAGAAAGTGAATTCAGCTGGGGACAGGTTGAGGTACTTTTGAGTCATCCAGGAGACATCACATGGATACTTACGTGAACACAGATCTGGTATAGCAGTAAATGTAAATTAGCAAACTATGTTCATTTGGGTAGTAATTCAACCAGACGAGCATGAGATTACCAAGGGACAGAATATGGAATGAGGACTCAGATCAAGACTTAAAGAATTTCATCTAATAGCAAGACAGAAGAGCCTGTAAAGGAGACAGAGATGGAGAAGCCAGAGAACAGAAATAAAAATAGAAGAGTGATGAATTCTACAAACCAAAGGGAAAGAGAGGCCAAGAGACAGACATTGCTGAGATGGCAGTAAGATGATGACCAAAAAGGTTGGTTCCACTTAGCTCAAGTGGAAAGTCCTGGTGAGTTTAGCAAGAGCCTCTTTTGGATAAGTGATGGGGAGAAACTAGATTGGGGTGGACTGAGGAGTGGGTAGGAGGCAAGGAAATGGAGACTGATTGTTGTTACTTCCAAGTATTTCTGCTGTAAGCGAGGAGGCATTTCATCTGCTGCAGCTAGATGAGCAGCATGGAGGCTTGGGGGACCCAGTCAATGTCCTACAGGCGGAGAGCAGCTGGGTCACATCTGGTCTTATCACTCATTGCATGGAGGGAGAATACCTAACTGGGAAACTCAGATAAGAGGTTGTTGGGGGGCTTCGGTTGTGGCTCAGCGGTTGAGTGCTCACCTAGCACATGCAAGGCCCTGGGTTCGATCCTCAGTACTACATAAAAATAAAGGATGTGTCTATCTACAACTAAAATAAATAAATAAATGTTTAAAAAAAAAAAAAGAGGTTGTTGGAAAGGACTTGTAAGGTTTGGGTCTGTGTCGGTTTGTTTTGGGTGGCCTTTAAGGACGTGGAGCTTTGCTCTGGACGGTGTCAGGAAGAAGAGGTTACTTCCATGACTGGGTATGGTAGTCTAATAGGCAGACTAGACAGAAGAAGAACTGCCTCTCATCCGCCCAGGAGGGGGACACTGGGTCATTTTTGCGGCCTGGACTAAGTTCACATTTTCTGTTCGGACTTAGAGAGAGGTCTGGTTTACCCTATCACAGTCTGAAGACGACGTCGCACCAAGTGGCTTGGCTTCAACAGGACACGAAGGCCAGCACGTGCCAGGCCGTAGGGTGCAGGCGCTGCGGGGACGCACCGGGCCGCTCCCGCCAAGCCTAGGCCTCCGGTCTCGAAAATCGGCCTGGAGCCCAGGCGGGCCGTGGCGGTGCCATCGAGGCAGCGCTGCGGTGACGCCGAAGATCCGGAAAGCCCTCCGGACACCAGGAGTCACGCACTCCACGCTGGACTGGCGTTCCCGGCCGGGAGCTCAACACAAGCCGAAGGAACGCCAGCGGGACGCAGCAGGGCTCGCGCTTAGCACAGGCACAGGGGTACCGCGGCAGGCCGGAACAAGCTCGGCGGGACCCTGTGAGCGTGCGCCTGCGCGGGGGACGCCCCGCCTCCTCGCTGCGGTGCCCCGCCCCACTCGCGCGCGGCACTCTGGGACGGACGGCCGCGCCGCGCGCCGATTGGTGGCGCCCCGCGCCGCCGCCGGGTGACAGACGGCGCCGCCGCCGCCGGGGTGTGGAGCGCGGCCGCTGCTCGGGCTGCGCGTCCGCCGCTGCCAGCCTCCGCCATGGACCTCTTCGGGGACCTACCCGAGCCCGAGCGCTCGCCGCGCCCGGCTGCGGGTAAGCGGCGCGGCGCGGGAGGGCGGCGGCGGCCGAGGCGGGCTGCACGGCCTGCCCTGACTGTCGACCCCGCGGAGCGGCCGGCGCGCCTGCGCCATCTTCGCTGCGCAGAAGGGACGGCGCCGCTGGTCCTGGCGGCGGAGGCCGCGCCTGGCCACCCGGCCTGCTGCCCCGGCGCGACGGCCGCAGCTGCCCGGGCCGGTGTGGCGCGGCGGACGCGCCGGCCCGAGTCGCAGCACCCGCGCCCACGCGCCGGGGCTGAGGGTGCGGAGGTTCGCGCCTTTGTTACCTGAGCCCGGCTCGAGCTCCTCTCCGGAGCCGGTGGGCGTGCGGGCCTAGCCTCCTGCGCCCCGGTCGCCGGCTCTCGGGCCGCGGACCGCGGACCCAGGTGCTCCGGAGCTGCGTCCCGCGCGCAGGTGGCTGTCGTTGAACGCGAGTGGCTGCGGGGGCGAGCGAGGGGGCGGGGGCGGACCGGCGGCCTGCGGGGCGGAGCGTGCCCGGGGCGGCCGGCGGGCTTGGGTCCGTCTCCTCGCCGCGGCGAGAGAAGTTGTCTGCTGTCGCACCTGGTAATGGCACCGTCCTTCCGGCCGGCCGTTCCGGAGATGCAGTGGAGTCTGAATGACTGTTCCCTGCGGCTGCGAACCGGGCTCCCCGTCTGTTCTCGGGACAACTGCAGTTACAGTGGAGGGCAAACCGGCTTCTGGCAGGCAGGCCCTTGCTTCGGTGGAGCGTGATTTGTATCCGAATGTGTTTGGGGCAGTTAGATGCCTAGGTGTGGCTGTCAAGCTGGGACCTTTTTTAGTCTCTACTACTTTTTACCCGAAATTAGTTTGGGTCTGCTCTCAGAGGAAGGCCCCATGATGTGACAAAACCTGACCACTCCAAGTCTTACAAGTTGTCACTTAGCAGCCTGTTGGATATAGTGAGGAGGGCGCAACCTGCCACTGATTTTTTTTTCCCCCCAAATTCTGCTTCCAGACCTTGCTGACAAGGTGGCAGAGGGGCTGCAGGTGTTTCAGCCTCCTCCCCTGGGAGTGCATTAGTGAAGTAGTCCCTTCTGCCAGGACACTGTCGCCGTCACAGACTCTGTGACTGTTTTTACAAATAGCTTTAAAACCAAGAAGTCTTACTTTCAGAATTCCTAGGTTGTAGGAAGCTAGGGGATAAGTTTTAAAGTGAGTGACAGAATTGGAACCCAGTAATCTTGATGGTTAAAAACCAAAAGATGAGATTTGACTTTAAAAAAAATCATTTGAGAACAGAATCAGATTTCACATTCTTGGAAAAATACTTGTTTTTTAAAATAAATTAATTACAAATCACACTTTGTTTCAGTAAATCATATTGACTGCTAATGTGGGTGAAGGATGAGGCTGTACTGTTTCATGACCTCACACCTGATATGTGGATGATGCAGGCAGTGTGAAAAACCTGGTTATTCTCACAGTCCCCAGAAGTAATGTTTGGGAGGTGTAACCAGACTGGTTTCAAATCCCACTTTTCACTTACTAACCCTATGCTTTCTATGGCTGTTCCTGCATCTATAAGAGGGGGTGACACCTTCACTATTTTTTTAATGTTAGTTGTTGATGGACCTTTATTTTATTTATTTACATGTGGTGCTGAGAATCAAATCTAATGCTTCATGCATGCTAGGCAAGCGCTGTACCACTGAGCTACAGCCCTAGCTCAGGAGTGACAACTTCTGTCATCGTGTAGGTAAAAGTGTGTGGCACTCATGGTGTAGGATGGAGCGGAAAGTGCTTTGCAGATGTTAGCCATTGTCACATGAGCTATTAACCTCAGCTGCTTAAAGCTGGGGGAGCAATCTTAAATGGCTTTTGTAAAAGCACTAAGTGTCCAAAGGTAGAATGTTAATACACTGCTCAGCTCACACCAAGTGTGTTGTGTTCTTTTGATTTTGGTTTTGTTTTCAGCATCGCTTCTAATGTTTCTACTACAAAATTTAAGTTTTAATGATCTTGAGAAAGAATGTAGAAAGAGTGCACTAAATGTTTTCACATAATGTGCTAAATTAATAGTTTTCATCCCTGTCCTTAAAAGGTTTTGATTGCTCATTAAATTAAGTTTTTTAAAACTTGATCTGTTACCTAACAGAAAGATATTTATGTGAGACAGAAATGGAATTTTTCTGTGCCATACTCATAAAAATGTTGACTTAAAATTGTTTTGGTAATAACTCAGTTTCAGTTTTATAGGAATGGAGGTTGACTTTGTTGTTACACCAGCAAGTTTGAAACTGATGGTCAGGCTAGGTGTAGCTCAGTGGTAGAGTACATGTTTAGCATGCTGAGGCCCTGGGTTCCATCCCTAGCACCCAAAACAAAACTGAGGGTCATCTGTGGAGGACAAAGTATTTGCTTGGCAGACCATCTTAAAAATACTTCTTTAAAACAATTGGATATATCAATATAAAGGTGAAAATATTAGGGCTGGGGTTGTGGCTTAGAGGTAGAGTGCTCGCCTAGCATGCATGAGGCACTGGGTTCGATTCTCAGCACCATATAAAAATAGAATAAAGATATTGTCTCCATATAACTAAAAACTGATTTTTTTTAAAAAAAGTGAAGATATTAGAATAAAACAGATCGATTGTAAAACTGCAGGGAAAAAATTCAAGTTATAAAAAAATAAAATGAATTTGACAGTGTGAAGTTAAATTTTTTGCAGGACAGAATATACCACAAAGGCAAAAGGCAAACTCAAGGAAATAACTATAGTGTACATTACAAAATCAATATACTCAATAAGTGAAAGGATTAAGAAGAAAAGGAGTTAAAGAAGACAAAGATATCCCATTACGAAAATAGTCAGAGGACATGTCCTGTTCCTATAAGTGTGCTGTTTCTCTGGGCACTGAGGAAGGAGAGGTCACATCACTGATATGGTATATTTCTCCACCTACAGCTTAGCAAAAATTGGTAGCACTCATGGAGGTGTTAGTAAATGGCCTTTCTCATAAAATGTATTCTGGCAGTGGAAGTTACTGCAACTTTTTTGGGGACACACTTTGGTGGCTGTCAAATTTAAACTACTCAGCCAGGCATGGTGGCACATGCCTATAATTTCAGTGACTTGGGAGGCTGGGGCAAAAGGATCACAGGTTCGAGGCTAGGTTCAGTAACTTAATGAGACCCTGTCTCAAAAATAAAAAGGGTTTGGGAATATAGCTCAATGATAGAGCACCCCTTGGTTCAATTCCCTCATACCCTTTGACCAGATTAAGTAAGTTTATATGTGTAAGATTGTGTGGCTCCCCCCCTCCCCCCGTACTGGGAATTGAACCCAGTGCCTATCACATGCTGTGCAAGAACCCTACCACTGAGTTCAGCCTCACCCCTATTTTAAAATTTTTGAGGCATGGTCTCACTACATTATTCAGACTGGCCTAAAACTTGTGGTCCTCTTGCCTCAGCCTCCCAAGTAGTTGGGACAGCAGGCATGTATCATGTTATTGCCACTGTCATGGCATCATTTGTCATGTGAAGAACTAGAAAATGGCCTGAATGCCCATCAGTAAGGGAACTTGACAAATGAATACAGCTACTTCCCATGTGGAATAGCATGCAGCTGTCAGAGTGAGTTAGACACAGGTGTGCTGGCTTCTGGGCATTCCCTAATGGGTACCTGAGTGATCGATGTGGGATGGAGCACAGGGGAGTGGGAGTGAGCTCTGAGGTGTTGCTGTGGCTGGGATTGTGGTGGAGCCAGACCCTTACCACCTTTCCCTCCCCCTTTGGTAGTGCCTCTGTGGTATTTAGGAAACACACCTGTGTTGCTTTTTGTAGTTGGAAAGAAAATTCTGATATATAAAGAAAAGAAAAACACAATTTAGGCAAATTTTAAAATATCTTTTTGTATATAGCAACCTTTAACTAACTGAATATGACCAACCCTAGAGTAGCTTTGCACAGCAGTCTCATATAACTTCCAGTAGACTTTGCATCAGATTGTCAGTAACAAAAAATTAGGTGAGATTAATTGTAATGAAAAACATTTTCAGTTTTGTTTCATTCTTTATTAGGATTGTTATATTCAGATCTGGGGGTGCTCTTTCAAAGTTTTGGGACAAGGTCACATTTTGTCCAATGATAGCATTCCCCAATTCTGTGTATCCAAAATAGAATATAAGATTTTGACTAATCAGAAGTTCCCTTTATGTATCTGTAACAGATCTTCTTTCTTTTAAATAGTCCAGATACTAACTTCTGGTTTGATCATTTTTATTTTATTTGTTTATTTATTTTTGGTACTTGGAATTGAACCCAGGGGTGCTTAACCATTGGGCAACATCCCCAGCCCTTTTTTATATTTTATTCAGAGACAGGGTCTCACTGAGTTGCTTATAGCCTCCCTGAGTTGCTGAGGCTGGCTTTGAACTCAAAATTCACCTGCCTCAGCCTCCTGAGCTTCTGGGATTACAGGCATGTACCACCTGCCCAGCTGGTTTGACTATCTTGATGATACAAAAGATTTTGTAGAGCCTCCAGGTTATCATTTTGGATCGATGCAGGGGTAAGATGAGAGGATCTTTGTACAATCCCTACAAAGGTCCTGGCGCGTAGTGCACCTCATGAAGAGCATGGGTTTGAATCCATGCGTTTGATACTTATAACCTAAAGACCCCTTGAGAATTTTCTTTCCTTGGAGTTTAGAGAATTTTACTTGAAATTTTTGTTTTTAAAAGAGAATTAACACTCAGTTGATTTCT